CAAATGTCCATATAAAAGAAATAGTGGGTGAACCAATCTGAAACTAAATCATTTCTCTAACAAAAGACAATAAGAAACGGTACTATTTGAACATAAATGTTTCAAACAAATTGAAACTGGTCAGAACCATATTTATTTTATCTTGAAATGCAAACAAATTAAAAATGAAAATCACCTTTTTATTGTAACACAATGTGGCCTTGTTTTGACATTTATACCTAATATGACTGTGTGTTTTGTTCAGACATTGTTGTCAATATAATGGCATGTTTAGCAACTGTCATACAAGTGAGAGGTTTATTTGAAAACCAGGTTAAATCGAATGTAGGACAAAAAGTCAGACAAAAAGTCACAATTCAGTTTTGCGATTATTTTATTTGAACAAGAAAACACTTATTTGAAAATATATTTTTTTTATTTTTCTTGGAAGTTTTATATATGAAGCAACCTTATAATTAAAATTTATACAATAAATATCAATAAGATCAAATATTTGTTATGAAAACAAAATGTCAAAGTGGCTTGGTACTTAAATGGCTTCATTTTGCCAATAAATATATCATTTCGCAGGGGCGGGTCCAGGTAAGGGCGTAATGGGCGTACACCCCCCTTTTCAGAAAAAAAAAAAAAAAATAGCGTTATCTGCTTATATTGTATTGAATATTGCAATTTATCATTTTAATTAATTAAACACATACTCTGATTTCTTTTTATACTGATTCCCCCATCCGATGGGTGACTTGGACACCTTTTTTAAACAACCAAAGCGGTAAGTAAATCTATACATGAAATGGTTGTTTTGTGTGACACTTCCCCAATGGCCATTCTACATCTACCCGGGGGATACTCGCTATATATATGATACCGGGTATGTTCCGACAACCGGGGTTGCATTTTCAGCTAAATTGTTTGAAATGGGTATTATGAATACAATGTTACACTATTGTTTCAGATAAGGGTGAATGTTTGGTACCATTCAAACGTTTAAACCCGCTGCAACTGTTTGCACCTGTCCTTAGTCAGGAATCTGATGTTCAGTAGTTGTCGTTTGTTGATGTGGTTCAAAAGTGTTTCTCGTTTCTTATATAGATTAGACCGTTGGTTTTCCCGTTTGAATGGTTTTACACTAGTAATTTTTGGAGTCCTTTATAGTTTACTGTTCGGTGTGAGCCAAGGCTTCGTGTTGAAGACCGTACTTTGACCTATAATGGTTTACTTTTATAAATTGTGACTTGGATGGAGAGTTGTCTCATTGGCACTAATATCAATACTCATAAATGAGGGTATATTGGATAGGGACAGAAATTTAGCTTTGCAACAGGTCACCTACGGACCCCTCAAAGAGTTGTTGCAATTGTTCTTAACGTGCAAAGAGCGTGGCACTCTCTTTACACGAGGCATCGGATTTAACGTCCCCATTCTGACCGGACGTGGTTGCGTACTTGTACATCCCGCACAGCCAAACGGACGCCCCACTTTGGCAAGGGTTCTACTGCCGGTCGGAAGAAGACCTGTAGTGACCGTATTTCTATTCCTCAGTCACCCTTGGGGAGCGTACAATATTGAAATATTTCAATTAAATTACACCCGGCCCAATGGACCTATAAGTCACTTCAAATAGATACTATAGTATTAATTCAGATAGTCATCAGGAATTTTATATACATGTTAATTATTTAAATACAAGTGTTGTCTGCGTTTTGTTAATGACTGTTCTAAGTATGAAGCTGTTTTTCGATGATATTCTGACAATGATAAATTTATTTTTTCACTGTTATTCAAATTCAATAAGGATTCACAAAAATAGACAATAAGGTTTGATGTTAAATTTTTCTTACTTAAAGAATTGGTACGAATACAAGTATGTCAAAATAGGGAGTTTCAATAGTGTCATTAAAATATATACTTCTTAAAGAAAATTTATTAATATATATTTATCATGTTTATGCATGTATTAAAGTGTAATAGGACGTCATGTAACATTTATATGCACACATACTGAATGCATGATCATAGAATGTATTTAATTCATGCAGCAAACTTAATATATATTTATTTTTTTCTTTTGTAGAGATGACAAAACAGCAAAGGAAATTTTAAGTTTAGGAAAGAAAACAAACCTTCCTACACAAAGTCCTCATTACTTGTTATTGTCAAGAGAAATGAGGGACAATGGTGTGAAAGTATTTAGTAGGTTGCAGTTCCGTGGAACTGTATTCTACTCAAAAGGTTACCAGGATGCAAAGACAAGAAATGATAGTGCTGGCTGCTTCAGTCACAACAATGTTACCAAGAAAGGAATTATTTTACTATTTTTGGAGTATGAGAACCAAATTAATGTGATAATTCAAGAATGCTTCTCAGTCCCATTCAATCTTGGGGAAGATATCAGAAGACAAATAAACAACTACTGTACATTGAAAGCTTATTTGGATAAAACTATTAGCAGACACATTGAAAAATTAGAAGGATTTGGTGAAAACATTGTTATTTCAGCAAAAAAAGTCTTAAAAAGTGTGTTCTGCTGGAGATTTACAACAGTGAATCATTTATTAGTATTCCTCCAAATACATCAGAACATAACTAATTACAAAATTAATGTGCTCTTTAATTTTAAAGGAAAAATTAACTTTTTCTTCAATACTAATTATTTATTTTCTGAATACTCTATATTTTGTAAATACATGTACATGATGTAACATGATATATGAATATATAAATGTTGACACATAATAATTAGACATTTCCAATTTTTGCAGTCCTTAAATTACAAATTTAACATATTCTAAAATATTGAGGGTTTTCAAACAATTTATAAACTGCCTTGAATAACTCCACTAAATAACTGCTGGAATGTATATATGTATATATTTAAGGTCCATCATCATTTAATTATCAGCTAAATTTTGTATAATGAAAATTCTAGAAGTCCAATATCCCGCTGGAATTATATATCTATAAAATACACATGTCCAAATTCCAGTGGGATAATTTAGAATGACAAAGTACAAAATTCCACTGGAAATATAGAAATAAACCAGTGGAAATGCCACTGAGATCCCATCGGGATAAACTTCCCATTGGGATTCCACTGACACTCCAAAACATTCCAGTGGGATTCCACTGGATTTTTTTCCCAATGGTATCCCACTGGAATCCCAAGTACATTTTCAGTAGGGTAAGTGCTAATATGGTCAGTTTTGGTTGATGTGGACAAATAATTTTGTTAAACGAGTCAGTTTGAGGTATGTAAACTCATGAAATTTGTTTATGATTTACTATTTTGAATAAAAAGAGGACATGCTGGCATTCTAAATTGATGCGAACAAATTTTTTTAGTCATTATATTCCAAAATTGCTATCATTTGTATTATACAATCCATCCTTACATGAAAAAATAACTCATTTACTATGCGGCTATCTAGATTTACATAATAAAGTGCTAATATGGTCAGTTTTGGTTGATGCGGACAAAAAAAATTGTTAAAGGTATTAAAATAACTGAAATTTGTTTAAGATTAAATATTTTGAATAAAAATAGGACATGGTGGCACTCTAAATTGATGCGAACAAAATTTTTTAGTCATTATGTTCCAATATTGCTATCATTTGTATTATACAATCCATCCTTACATGAAAAAATAACTCATTCACTATGTGGCTATATAGATTTACATAATAAAGTGCTTGCAACAGGTCACCTACGGACCCCTCAAAGAGTTGTTGCAAGGGTTCTTAACGTGCAAAGAGCTTGGCACTCTCTTTACACGAGGCATCGGATTTAACGTCCCCATTCTGACCGGACGTGGATGCAAATTTGTACATCCCGCACAGCCAAACGGACGCCCCACTTTAGCACGGGTTTTACTGCCGGTCGGAGGAAGACCAATGGTGACCATACTTCTATTCCCCAGTCACCCTTGGGGGGAGCTACAGTAGAGCTATCAATGTTGAACTTAAGAAGTCAATTGGAAATTCAAAATAGCCACCAACTAGGTCATCAAAGTTTACATAGAACCCCTATGGAATATGAAATTATATTTTGCATTTACTATGGATAAATAAGCAATAAGAGAAGGGTGAGTAGAATTCAAACTTAAAGCTTCAACGGGAAATAAATACATGGAAAACATCGCTAAGGTTGTTATTAGTAGCCTTTCTTTAACAAACTTCCAAAATTTGAAGCATATTGTTATCTGTGAGGAAAAGTACAGCTTCACTCCAGATGATTTCAAGGCAGTCACGAGACAAAAGCGACGGAAGTCTATGCCATTCTCAATTTCCTATTTAAAAAAAGAAGATGAAATAATGTGATCTAAAAAATTATCAAAGTCAGCAGTATTGAACACTGAACTTGGAAAAAAGATGATTAATAACTATCTTGCACGTAACATCAGCAAGCTACAAACAAAACGCAATCTGAAACTATATGTGCATCGTGAATTGGTTAGTACGAGTGACTGTATGTCAACTGTTGAAGGCTTATGTCCGCATATAAGGTACACTACATCAGTAAGAACAACTTTTACAAAATTTAAGTTCAAAGTTGGGGTATGGTTTTAAGTCTGAGGCAGATCATTTTTTTCACTATTTACCACTATAAGGTATGGGGAAAAGCTTGAAAATCAAAATTGATTGTAATTATACTGCCCTCTTACTGTTGGGCGTCCTTAATTGTAAATAGTGTGTTGTGTTGTATACAATAAAAGTACAATAAATTTGTCGTTGGTAGTATTTGTTGTTTAGATTGGCATGTAGGGACTTTATGTTTTGATTTTTCCTAGGTGCCTGTTCAACTCTTCATACATTCATCGACAATATTTTTTGCCATTGCACTCAGGCGTAGTTTCAGCGACCTCTTATTGTAAATAAACCACTTGCATATAAATCTTTAAGTATAGACCGAAATTGATACGGGTGTACACGTTACCGGTGATGACGGGAGTTTTACCTTGACTGGCTGTACAGTCCTTGCACGGTAAAATGTTCCATTGCACGTTTCACGAAGTCATACAGGTAAATAATTTTGTCGTTTCTAATACAGCCACTGTGTTAAATGTATAATGACGGACAGAAAGTCGCAGAATAAAACGTCTATGGACGAGATGTTTATAAAACCAGGTTCAATCCACGATTTTCTACATAAGAAAATATTTGTACCAAGTTAGGAATATAACAGTTGTAATCCACAGTTCAGGAAAAAGTTACAATATGGGTTTATATATAATAAGAAATCTGTCAAATAGTTATAAATATATTTTAGAATCGCAAATATATTTTGCAGAAAAAGTTCACATATCCGTTGTCTTGAGAGTTGTCTGTGATAGATCTATTGTGTGCCGCATCGTGTTTTCCCGGTGCTATGTAATTGGTGCAATACCATCCCAACCCTTCTTCTTCTGCTTGGTTTGATAACGAAGTCTTCTGCACTTTTATCTGTTATACAGGACGGTTCAAACTGCTGCCATTTCATCTCCGGATGACCTCTCACTGTGTGTTGATAGACAACTTAACAGACAAGGCGATGTTTATACAAAAAGCATATTTGCAAAAAGTTTTTGTAACAGTTGACGGGCCTTTGCTCGTATTCATGGATATAGCTAGAGTTGTTTCGAAAATACTTGCATCAGACGTTACACTTTAGGTCACATCGTATTGTTGTTTTTAAACGTGACTACATGCTTATCAAGATAAATGGTTTAATTTGACTTTGATGCTGGACAAAATAAATGCGTGACTTTGTGTTTCTGTGATCCCTTTCTATTCTTAACGACTTTTTACACACTTCACGAGATCAACAAAGACGTCAACAAGTATAGATGGTTTTCCATCGATGATTTTACCCACAATTCATAGCGCCCGTCTCCATCTTGTAGGGCAATCAGAGCGAATCAAGGTGTAACACATAATCGGATTAAATATTTACATTTTGCCGTTAGCTATGGTTAATACTTGTGTTGTTTACGGTTGTTCAAATCGATCAAAGCCTGGAGATACTGATTTAAAGTTTTTTGACATTCCTAAACTAATTAAATTCAGACAGAAGAGCTTTCAATAGAACGCAGAAGAGTGTGGCTAGCTCGCATCAACAGAGCAAACTTTGACCCAGATCCAACAAAACGTCACTTCAAAGTGTGTTCTGATCATTTCATTACAGGTAAATAATATTTAATATTATACCTTTCCATTAATTTTTGTTGTAATTATGATTTAACAGCTGATAAAATAGTGTGTAACATGAAGTTGCATGTATTGATTTTTTTGTTGTTGGAAATAGTACACAACAGTGCACAATGTCATGTGATCAAACCAGGTGAAAGTTGAAACAGGTGAATACATACAATGACCTGATGACAGTGCATACATTTATCAGCACCTGAACTTGTCAAAACTCTTAATCAGGTTAATTATCAAATCCATTTAAGCAACTTGGTGATACTAAATCTACACATTTGATTCTCAATGATGGAATGCATTAACTGCTTTTCAGACTGCAAATATATGCAACATTGAATTGACTGTCATACAAGAGTACTTATTTTTATGTGGACATAAGGTGGATAGCAATTTGGTAAATATTCACATCCATCTTTTCGAATATTATGTTGTAAGCATGTGTTCAAATTGATTTCCTTAATAACCGGTACATTAATATTAATATGAGAAGGTGAGACATGCTAGCAAATACATGTAGATCATCAATTTATATTAAATGTATACTATGTACACATGCATGACATTAGGATGTAAACATGTTTTATATGTTATCGTATTATTGCAGGCTTGAAGGCAGATCTGTTCGATAAGACAAATCCAGACTGGGCTCCCTCAATTAGTCTTGGACATTCATCAGAATCATCATCCGAATCGTCAAAGAAACGGTATGTAAGACAGCAAGCCAGAAATGAAAAGCAGATAAATCCCAGACAGCAAAAGCCCTACCTCTGCAAGAATCCACACAACTTGATGAACCAAATATTGAAGGAGATAGTAGTGTTGAAGTATCAATTTCTAGCAAAAGAAAATGTACCTTCAGCTATATGGCAACGATCGAAAAAAATGTGAAAACCGAAGAGGAACTTGAAATTGAGAGACTGAAGCAGGAAAACCTGTCATTGAAAGAGAAACTGAATGCCGGTACAGGTGATATAACTCCTGAAACATTTACTAATGATGAAAAGGCTAAACATTACACTGGACTACGATACATTGTACGTATGTCCTTATTCACTTTTCTTGAGCCACATATAAGCCAGACATCAAAAAGTTCTCTCTCAAGATTTCAGAAGCTGGTGTTGGTATTAATGAAACTGAGACTTAACCTTGGAATTCAGGACTTAGGGTATAGGTTTAAAGTAACCCCTAGTTGTGTATCAAAAGTGTTTTTGGACATGATACATGTGATGTACATACGCATGAAATGCTTAATTTTGTGGCCAGAAAGAGAAGAGTTGCAGACGTCAATTCCTATGGAGTTCCGTAAATACTTTGGGGTAAAAGTTTCAATAATTATTGACTGCTTTGAGGTATTTATCGACAGACCATCTAACCTTTTAGCACGAACTGAAACCTGGAGTAATTATAAACATCACAATACCGTGAAATATCTGATAGGGATAACTCCACAAGGAGCAGTATCTTATCTTTCCAATGGATACGGCGGTCGAGTTTCTGACAAACATTTGACTGAAGACTGTGGCATGCTACAGAAACTTTTGCCTGGTGATATATTTTTAGCTGATCGTGTGCTGAAGTGAAAATCCCATCTTTCACTAAAGGGAAGAAGCAACTGTCACCATTAGAGTTGGAAGCAACAAGAAAAATTGCGCACACCAGAATTCATGTAGAAAGGGTAATAGGTCTTGTACGTAACAAGTACACTATTTTGCAGAGTACAATTCCAATTGACTATTTGCATTGCCAGTCTGAAAATGTACCAACAATGGATAAAATAACTACTGTATGTTGTGCCCTTACAAATCTGTGCGACTTTGTTGTGCCGTTTGACTGAATTGTGTTTTCAGAACTGAAAAATGTATATTTACCTGTAAATAACTGATAACAAAACTGAATAATATAAAAAAAAACCGTCGTTGTCTGCAAGGCAACCTGATGAGCCCTTATAGGGCGAAACGGTTTTTATTATGTATTAAAATATTCTTTACAAATATGTTGGGTTTTTTTATTCATGAAATGCCGATAAAAATAAAGTTCTTTTCCCCGCATCTTCATTAGTGCATAATATGCATGTTTTATAGTAATCATTGTGTTATGATGTTTATGTATCTTGCCTGAAGAGGGCACATGCTTGGTACAATAAAATAATGTCTATGCCTTCAAATAAATTATTCATCATTTTATGTTTCTATGGTGATATGAAAAACATAAGGAGATGTGGCGTGATTGCCAATGAGACAATTATCCACCAAAGTTCAAATGAAGTGGATGTGAGCAATTATAGGCAACTGTAAGTCTTCAACAATGAGAAAAACCCATACCATATAGTTGGCTATAAAGGGCTCTGACATGAAAAATATGAAACATTTAAATTAAAAGAAACTAATGACAAAATTTAAAACAAAACAATTTTTGAGAAACACATACATGTATGACAGACATGAACCAACAACAACCTATGAACTAGACTCCTGACTTAGGACAGGCACATATAGAATGTGGAGGGGTTAAACATGTTTGCAGGTGCACTTATTATTTTGTCTAGGTGAAAATTGTACAGATAATGGGCATGGGTTGATAACAAAACTACCAACAAAAAACAGTGGAAAATATGTTGTTTAATCATTTATATTGTCATTTCATTTTAAGAAATACAACAATATTTTGTACTTATTTTTTTTTTTAATGAGCTACTATATATATAGCTACATGAACTCAATTTTTTGTTCATTTTTTCTTTCTTTTTTCATTTTTTCACTGTCTAAGTAATTTTTCACAATAAATATGTAGGACTCTAAAGTGCGATGGTACTCTAAAGTGCGATGGTCACGCTAAAGTGCGATGGTCTACGCTAAAGTGCAATGGTGTCAGACGCTAAAGTGCGATGGTTGTTTGTATTTTTAAGTGCGATTAGATGACACGCTAAAGTGCGATGGTATGACACGCTAAAATGTGATGGTATACGACACGCTAAAGTGCGTTGGTTTAACACGCTAAAGTGCGATGGTGTAAAACGGGAATGGGGTTCAGGCAATGGCTTTTGTTTTTTGCTGTGTTCATATTAGTTTTTCGTCTATAGTATTGTCTATAAATCATGCCGTTGTCCTTCTCTTTTAGATTGTTTTACACTAGTCAATGTGTTGTCCTATATAGCTTGCTATGCGACGTGAGGCAAGGCTCCACGTTCAAGGTCATAATGTTATTAGGTGCATACATCAACGACATTTGGTCTTTGGTGGATAGTTGTTTCGTTGATAATTACACCACATCTTCTTATTTGTTTTTTTGCTTATTGTTTTGTATATAATCGTTATAGAATACGATCTGCGGGACTAGCCATACGGTAACCTATAATTAATTACATTAATGACATTTAGCCTTGGATAGAGACTTGTCTCGTTGGCAATCATATTATGATACTACACCTCTGGTCGTTATGTTACTGTCTTGTTGACGAGTATCCATCTCTTTCACAGACATGACGAACCATATTGTTAAAAAAATATTTTATAAAATACTTCAATTAGAAAGTAAAAAGTAGCTTTTATTTCACGTAAATAAATGACAATATGTGGGATTAAAACATAGAAGGAGTTTCTAAATTAAATTTGGACGAATTTAACACTTTGACACTTCGTGTATTTTGCCGTTTTCGCTCTCTTTTATGGTATACACCTCCCCCTTACTATCGTCAGTTTCTATGTTTATGAGAAGTATTTTTTTTACCAGTTTCCTGACAAAAACACGTTTTTCCCCACCGACACAGCGAACGTGGCTGCGTACTTGTACATCCCAAATGAATAGCACACAGACGGGATCATAGGTTTGCATTTTTGTTACTGTCGATGATATTTTGGGAAATAACTCCTCCGCATACAAACTCTTCTAGCACCAACCAAAAATGTTCCGGGTTGGGATCATTTGTTTTTCTTTTCTTGTCTAGTAAAAAACCTTCATCTGCGGCAATTCCATTTTTGTTTGTACAAACGGCTTGTATCGTCATAATGCTATTTAACGTTGCAAACGTCCATACTTTTGCGAACAAACGCACTTTCGCGGAAAAACGCACTTTAGCGTATCGCGGCATCGGACTTTAGCGTGTTCCATTAAATAGCGCAGACCATCGCACTTTAGCGTATCAAACCATCGCACTTTAGCGTAGGCCATCGCACTTTAGCGTGACCATCGCGTTTTAGCGTCCCCATCGCACTTTAGAGTCCTACAAATATATCTTTGTACATATTTAAAGTCTAAAAATGTCACTTTTTCCGGCACTCCTTACAGAACCACTTGCCTTTTGGGGTGCGTTTAATCTTTGCACATTTAAAGTGAAACCAGACAAAGGGACAGTTCTCATTGTCACATCCAATTACGTCGTCAACTTCTTCATTATATGGTGTTTGGCAAGTACATATAATCAAACCGTCATCACTTGTTGTGCTACTCAAACTTTGCTGGTTGGATGTCCCTTGAAGAGGTGACCTTTGCTTTCCAATCAACTCTGGCAGAATAGTCTTCTGAAAGAAAAGTGAACGCCTTTCAACCATTTCTATGCAGAAAATATTGTCTATAGTGATTCTTTCTTTGTAAAAGTCTGCCTCTGTCCACACTACAAAGTCACAAGACTGCACTTCGGCTACCATAAGCTGACATTGAATCTGGTAGAAATAAGCATGTCCTTTGTCCAAGTGTAAACTTCCATCTGTAATCTTAAGACAGTCTACCTCATCACTTATTTCTGCTGTTCTCTGACAATAGGGACACTTTATTTCCACCAGAATATCATCACAACAGTCACATGAAACTCTTCCATCTGGGCTAGCTCCCATGAAAGGATATTTTGGATTAATCAGTAGTCCACTGTCATGCCACTGAAAGTTAATGTGATTCTTGGACATGGTGTTAATATAGTCAACATTCGCATCTTTCTGATGGTCACACCCCCATGTAGTTGCCTTCGAGGTAAATGTCTTTGAAATTGGGTAGCAAATGTCTTTTATTAAACTTTTTGATGGTTTATCAAGTGCAGTCCTACACACCCTCTTGACACGAGAAGCAGTTATTCTGCCAATTCTAAAGTTGAACCACTGTTTTGCTTTCGCTTGGTCACGAGTTGCAAGTTCACAGTTCTTTGCTTCTTCCTCAGTCACTTTGATTGTATGAAATACCTCCTCACACTGCTTAAGGAGCTCATTACTTTGAAGGGATCCACAATCCTCAGTATAAAGTTCTGACAACACAGTAGGGTATTTGCGGTCAAGGACCTTTGGTCTGTACATGTGAGCAAATTGAGGCACAAGTGACAAAATAACTGGCCTGGTTCCTGTGCGACTTAAACTTTAGAAGAAATTGTTCAAAATCTTGTGTCGATGGCTCTTTTACTGTTGGAAGCTTTCGCTGTTTAGGACCGGATGTTACTGGTGAGTCTTCAGCCTGGTCTAGTTTTCTCTTCTTTTTTTTTTGCTGAAGTAAAGTCTATGCCCTGTACACTTTTGTATTCCACCTTGTTGACAGCAGAGGGGAGCATCCAGTATGCCTTAGTCTCTGTCACTGTCTGGCTATTTCTTATCTTCACAGCAGCTTCTATTGCAAACAGAAGTGCTCCTACGAGAGAACAGACTTCTACAGATATCCGAAAAAACCGTAGTCAGGAGTAATGTCCTTTGTCTTCAAAGACTCGAATGTTAATTCAATTTTAAGTAGACATATACACATGTTTCATTCGATTAATTGTTGATAAAGTGTATTAAAATTAATGATATTGAAATATTTGTTCTTTCTACAAATGTATCTAAAAACAAATTCTGCATTATTTGTTACCCAAAAAAACAATGAATTCGACCACATTCATCACTTTTTACATTTATTTTGATATTTTTTGTTGGTCCCTTTTATTTCATTCCAATGAATGAAAATTTACCATCATGCATAACCGTCAATTATAACACTATTTTTATTTATATATTACAGTCATGAGTAAGGCGACGTGCAATCCTGAATAACAGCACAACAATATCAGATGGTTACAAAGTAAAGTTCTTCTATGTTTTAGAGAACAAGAACTTTATGTCATCAGAAGAGAGTGAAACAGTTCCGACTCTGATGACGTTTCATGCATGATTAAGATTGTTAAAAGGAAACTCATGTAGAGATCAAATGATTGTATGATGTTTAGTAACCATTAACCAGCTCTTAAGATTTAGTCATGACGGTTTCGTCTTTTTTTTTTTTTGTGTAGCATTTTAAGCTTGTCTTCCGTTAATGCGAGTATTTTAGAAAAGGTGTTATTTATGGTAGCAGAAACTTGGAAGAGAAAGCAAATAATGTTCTTGACAATTTATACTTAATAAGAAAACTGGTACATTTAATAAATGTTACGGAGATCTGATTACAGAAAATATACTTAATAAGAAATTTGTTTTTAAAAACGATGAGGATGACCATTGAAGACACCATGAATTTTTGAGAATACCAAACAGAGTGCTGATAAGAGGGAACGACACATACGATATAGGTTATCTCAGAAAAAGTAAGACTTATATTGCTTTATCTTGTAGTATTTAAACGTACATAATTAGTTTTGTTTTACAGTGTTTGTGATTAAATAAATCTATGTTTAGATGTTAAATACTTTAGTCACATATTAATTAATAGTTACTTTTGTTTTATGAAAAGAGAAAATGGAAACATATTAAACATGTAATGTTAAAGTTTATTTTTGTTTTATCTTTTACAGAATGATTGATTGATTGTTGGTTGCTTAACGTCCAGTGGCAAATATTTCATGCATATTCAGGACGAGAACAAGTTCACAATAAATACAATAGGTAGGTTCTGTAATAGATTAAGGGATTAAGGTCGGAGAAATTTAGACTGCCACGGGAAATGAGGGTATATTGGAAAGGGACAGAATTTAGCTTTGCAACAGGTCACCTACGGACCCCTCAAAGAGTTGTTGCAAGGGTTCTTAACGTGCAAAGAGCGTGGCACTCTCTTTACACGAGGCATCGGATTTAACGTCCCCATTCTGACCGGACGTGGCTGCAAATTTGTACATCCCGCACAGCCAAACGGACGCCCCACTTTAGCACGGGTTTTACTGCCGGTCGGAGGAAGACCAATGGTGACCATACTTCTATTCCCCAGTCACCCTTGGGGGGGCTTTTACAGAATGTCACAGAATTTAAATGAAGGATTTACTTTATGGATGTCGTTTTTGAAGAAGTCCAGATTTTAATTGTATCACATTTGAGAGGAATAACCATAACTGATGCAGATAAACTTCTTTATCCAGTTAAAAGCACAACACTCATTACGGTCCACCAACTCGTGATAGCTTCTGTATAAGTGACAAACGAGAAAACATATGGCCTTAATTATTTTCAAAACAATAACTGATAAACGAGAAAACATATGGCCTGAATTATTTTCGAAACAATAAACGAAAAGAACAAATATGATATATTGCAACTATTTTAAAGTAGCCATTATTAGAAACAATTACTCTAGATGATATATAAATTCATAAAAAAGTTTGAATATCATTTGTTCAGGATTTTTAGTCTTGTGACTTTTTTGTCATATCAAATTTGTGACTTTTATGTCCTGTGACTTTTTATCCTGTGACTCTCTGTCCGTTTACCTTAGAATTCATATTATGTACACAGGTAAATGGAAATTGTGTAGTATAAGAGAACGGAAATCTTTTTTTACAAAATAAACAATTTAGTCGTTCATAGTAGGAGTGAAAATTTATAATCATGAGAGTGGTTGTTGTCTTTCGTCATCACAATTTTCTGATATTACTTATACGACACATGATTTAAGTCAATTAGGTACATATGTACTAATAATTTCTATGACTCGGAGCTGATATGCTTTCCGTCGTACCAACAACAACAAAATTGTTATTCATTCAAGCTGTCATCCTAGTTCTAGTAAAAACGTACTGATGTGCTGAAATGGTGCGAAAGTATTTGTATAATATGAGGACAATCTTTGTCTGGCAATATTATATCGTTACTGAAGAAATAGCTGAAATACATGCGTCTGATATCAAAAAGCGGAAGTTACGGGTAGCTCAGACATTTCAAAAGGAAAGTTGAAAGTATGCCTGCAGGTAACAATAGAACTGAGGAAAAAATGTGTTTTTCATTTACATTGACCCAGTGTTTGATTCAATTGAATACTCTAACATCATGAATGTTAGTCTTTGGTCATTAATCCTCCTCATTTAAGGCTTAACATTCCGCACCACCAGCGACAAAATTTGTTTTTCATTTCGTTCTAATTATAATGAAATTTGATGCGACTGTCATAAATTAAATTAAAAGTTCAGAACGAAAGAAATATGACCAATAACAAAAGAAAATTGTCTCAAGAAGTCCACATCAAGGGGAATCACCTAATTTCAAAGTTTACAAACACAGTGAAGGCAATTCGCCTCAAATACAATATGCAAAAAGGCAAGGATTGAGCCTAAATAATACTAAAACTGAAAAGCCCCAAGTCACTCAATGGAAAGGGCAAAAAAATGTTTCCCCCGAGTGAAACACTGATTATTACCTCAAGGGTAAAACAGTTCCTTTTACTGACCCTTAATTCACTACATTATCTCATTATTACTATGATAGGAAGTGTCAATGTTCAAGCTATCGAGATCAAACCACTTAAGAACAGTGTACTGGTTGACGATCCATCTGAATCAATAAGGCGTTAAATACTTGGATATAGTTGACTTAATCTTACCACATCTCTTTATAGTTACATTGTGACCTGCAACATATAAGAAATGCCTTTTAAGACCATCCATAGTTAATGGATTTTTTGGGTAACAATAAAATTGAAATAAAGTTCTTCTTGATCTTGTAAATGAGAGTATATATTGCTTAAACACCAGTTATGGATCATCTTCATTCAGATTGAAGATTGGAAAACTTAAAGAACAAATATTCATATTAAAATTGCATATTTTGAATATTCCATTACTTTGTCAGCTATTGTCACAATGGTGTGTAACCGCAAAGCATGGGCATTACCCTCATCCCCATACAAAGCAATGGAAAAAGCATTGAAAATGCATTTCCCATTTGCTTTGGTGGCCAAGCAGATCCGTTTTCCAATTGAGGCTGGCATAAAATCTTTATATCTGAAAAAGGAAAAGAATTATGCAGTGATGCTTATCAGTTAAATACAGAATATCATGTTTATATTCAACCTATTGTGGATGAAACTTTGACCAAAGTCTTAAGACATACAGGAAGTTGATGAGAAACTCATACTATAAACTCACTACAATATGCCTATATTAATTGGTGTCAAATACTAATATGCTTAGATTGTTTTTGCTGGAAAGCTGGATAGAAACAATGAACATCATTTATTTTGCGGTAACTGGATTCAGGTTGTAGTATTATTAGTAGTTATTATTTACACATGCACTACATACATAGTTTTAATTGTAAAAAGTTACTTAACATTGTTGAACTGCAATCATCTGCTACTATTAGTTGTGGATCTCGGGAGAACAAAGAAATGTCTTTTAACGTAAATTTAATACCTTTGGTTCACCTCAATCAATTTTGGCACATTCCACTCCTTTGCAAGGGAAGTAGGAATACTTGGCATGAAAGGTATCAATTCGGCACTCAGTGCCAACAACTCATTCCAATCACCTTATCCAATAATTCTCAGAAACTCAAGACTGTTTTGAGCAGAATCCTGTAAAAAAAAAAGCACCAATCATAACTTAAAGCAAGAAGTAGGGTTTGAGCTTAAAATACATACACACCACAAACAAATAAATTAAGAGGCTCAGTTCATGACAATTCAAATTACACTCATCCTGTGGTGGTCCCAACGATTTGTTTCATTTATTGATAGTTGTGAACACTGAATCACTTCTTATGTGTTTTAAATCTTATTCATCAGATCACAAGAAAACCAAGCAAGAAATATGTTCAGCTGCTGTCCTTTTTTTTATAAGCAGTCTTTTTGTCTTAAATTATCACTGATCAATTTTCCATCTTGAAAAATCACAATATTACATCGTTAAGTAGTTCCAAATTGTTTTTCATCTTCGGATTTATTTTTATC